CCAGGACTTGAACTATACCGTGGGCCATGTGGGATGCGGATGCCTTAATCTCACGCTACTAGCTTATCCGAGAAAATGCCTTTAAGCTCAGCTCTGACAAAGGCATGAGACCCAGTTCCAGGCAGGAGGAACAGCACATACCAGGGCTGAGACCAGAGGAAACGTGGCTCATTCGAAAAGCAGAAAGGAGTTGATTCGGCTGTTGTAGACGGAGGGGAGGGCAGAGCCGGAGGGGAAGCCATGCCCTGCGTGTGGACTGTCTGGGATCTACAGGTCTCGAGGCTGGGATGGCAGCAGCCAGGTGAAGGAGGGGAAGGGACTCAGCAGAGGAAACGGCCTAAGTAAAAGCTCAGAAGCAAGACAGACCATGACCACTACAAGTGTGTCCTTGAAGCCATGCTGTGGGGTGTCTCTTGGTGTGTGTCGCACCTAGTGTGGGGGTACTGGAGTTTGTTTACGGGGACAGGAAACCAAACTCAAGTCTTCAGGAAGATCAGGAGGGTCAGGGCCAGCACCTGTCCCAGGCCTGCCGAGCCTGTGGCCACGCCTCCACATCTGGTTGCTCGAGCAGCCTCAGTTTGTCCAGGTTGTAAAGTAAGAAAATAGGGCCAGCAGGTGGTGTAGAGGTTACGGTGCTGGATCCCACATGGCCGAGCCTACAGCTCGAGTCCTGGACCTAGTGGCCTGAAAAATCACACGGAGCACATGTGAGCGTGTGCTTCAAATGCCGAGGAGAACATAGAGAAGGGATTGCAGCATGACCACCTCCCCTGGGGAGTGACTTCTCATCTTCCCTCTTCCTGTCTCTCTCCAGCAAGCACACACACCCTAAGGCAAAAACAAAAACAAAAACAAAAAAACCTAGAAAACGAAAGAGAAAACAAAATCGTCCCAGGCCAATCACTCGTGTGTTTCCCAGTTTTTACATGTTCTCGGTAACTTTCTTGGATGGCCTCAGGAGAAAGTGGGATGATCTCAAGGTCCTTTTTATTAGGCTAAGGGGATCAGTTAATTTTATTTCAAAATTTAAAAACACAGTAGAGTGGCCAGCAGAGAGTATAGTGGTTATGTTGCTAGACTTCCACATGGCTGACTGCGATTCACGTCTTGAACCCAGAGGCTTGAAAATCCCATCGGGCATGCGTGCATGTATGTGTGCGCCCAAGATCTCAGGAGGAGACTGGAGGAAAAAGGATTGTGGTGTGGCCATCCCCCCAGGCAATATTTCTCACTTTCTCTCTCACTGTCTCTGCTTCGCCCCCCCTCGCCCCCCCCAGCCCTAAGGCAAAAACCTCTTAAAAACAAACAAAACTCAGTAGAGCACCACACAGGAGGCATGGTGGTTATGGCAGCTGGATCCCATAGGGTCAACTATGTGGTTTGAGTCCCCGACCTGTTCACTTGAAAAACACCACGCACAGGTGCCCAAAATTACAAGAGGAAGATGGAGAAGGGATTGTGGTGCAGCCATGTCCCCAGGGGAGGTGAATGACTTACAGCAAGTTAACAAACAAGCAAACAAAAAACATAAACAAAAACTCAGAGGAAATACCCTTTTGGAGGCATTACAAAATAACCCACAAAACTTTGCTGGTTGCCTAACATTCCAACATGGCACCAATGCCCAGTTTATAAGGTAAACGTTGGCTCCCCGCTTCAGACATTCTCCCCTCCTCCAGATGAACTATTGGTAAATATTCTCTGAGACTAAGCTCTGCAGGACTTGTAGGCTCAAATGAGCTCACAGATGTATTCTGTGTGGCCAACAAAGTTTTCAAACTTGGCACATTTCAAAATTTTTTCAGCTTCTCTGAGAAAAACAAATATCAAACTGGCCGGAGCCAAAGAGCAGCAGCACTTTCAGATGAGCCATGCAGGATCTCTCCTCTCGACCACAGTCTCCACCACTCTCCAATACTTCACACACAGCCTACTCCTCTCATTTAAGTCATCTTTCTCATTCTTGTTTGTTTTTGCCATAGGGTGTGTGTTCCCGACAGAGAGAGAGAGAGAGAGAGAAAGGGAAAGTGAGAAATCACCCTCTAGGAGGCATGGCCATGCCACAATGCCTTCTCCTCCAGTCTCCTTGCAGGATTTTGGACATGTGCCCCAAATCACATGTGCTTGGCGTGATTTTCAAGCCACCAGGTCTGGGACTTAAACTGTAGAGTTGGTCATGTAGGATCCAGCACCTTAACCACCACACTACCTGCTGGTCCCTCTCATCCTTTTTCTAGAAGCTTTCCTTGAATATACCATAAAATATATATGCATCTGTCTACATATATTTACACTGACCTTGACAATACATCTGTGTCTACAAATCTAGCTCCTTTCCAAGGCTTTATCATATTCCTTGTCTGAATCTCTGAGGCTTATTATCTAACTCCCTCTTGACATACAAAAGGTTCCACTTTCTTTTTTTAAAATTATTTAATTTTATTTATTGTTATTATTATTATTATTATTATTTTGAGAGGTTTTTGCTATAGGGCGTGTGTGCTCACCAGAAAGACAGAGAGACACAGAGAGACAGAAAGCGAGAAATCACCCCCTAGGGGGGGATGGCCACACCATAATCCCTTCTCCTACTTTCTCCTCTTGGGGTCTTGGGCACGCACACACATGCACTCGGTGTGAATTTAAGCCACTGGGTCCAGGACTTGAACCCCGGTTGGCTACAGGGGAGTCTGGGGACATAGCCATTACACTAACTGCTGGTCCCAATTGTTTTATTATTTTTTAATTTGACCAGAGAAAGAGAGAGAGAGAGCAGGAAAATAAGAAAGTAAGCTGCCAGATCCGAGACTCAAACCATAGTCAGCCATCTGGGAGTCCAGTGCCTTAACCACTATGCCATCTGCTGGCTCCATGGGTCCACTTTCTTTACACTAGATACTGTAAATAACTGTCATTGTACTTTTTCTTATGGCATTTTATAGGGTAAATACCTAGAAATAGACTTATTAGGTAAATGTGTTTATGTACATTTTAAACTAAGAGATTTCAAGATGTAAAATTTGAAAGCAATCAAATCACCCGGATTATATAAGTTTACATCTCCAGAAAATGAAAGTGGTATTTTTTTTAGACTTATTGAGACCCACATTTTGTTAACCACTAAGGCCTGGGACATCGTTTTCTGCTCAGTGGTCTCTGTATCCTCTCTGCCCTCCACTGACTTTTCCACTTGTACTTCCTACTCTACTTTTACTGCTTTTTAAGAGTTCTTTGTACACAAGGGGTATTAGGCCTTTAGCTAAATATGCTGTAAATTGTTTAATAAGTTGTTGTCTTTAAACTTTGTGTATATATATATGTATATTTTTTTTTTTTGAAAAATAGTAACTTTATTTGCAATCGCATTTATACTTTCCCTTTAGGGGATGGACTACAACCTGCTCTCTTTGGTAAGCATATTAATTTTTTTTTTTTTTTTGAGAGGTTTTCGCTACAGGGGGCATGCGCTCGCCAGAAAGAGAGAGAGATAGAAAGCGACAAACTGCCCCCTGTGGGGATGGTCACGCTGCAATCCTCCATTCTCCTCTCGGGGCCGTGGGCACGCATGCACATGCATCTGGCGTGAGTTTAAGCCACCAGGTCCGGGACTCAAACTGTGGTTGACTACATGGGAGTCCAGCGACATAGCCATTATGCTAACTGCTGGTCCCTATATATTTTCAAAATTTGAATATATTCTCCATTTCCCCACTGGAACCGGTGCTGTCCATATGATATGATTCATAAATAGGTTATTTTATACTTTTGTTTTTCTGTTGTTAATTTGCTATAGGGTGTGTGACCTTGCTGGAGAGAGACAGTGACACAGAGAGAAAGATGGAGAGAGAGAGAGAGAGAGAGAGAGAAAGACAAAGTTAGAAAGCATCCTCCCCTCCCCACCTGCCCCAACCTTTTCTGCTCTCAGGATTTTGAGCATGCATGCACACACGCCTGGCATGTTTTTTACACCACTGGGTCCAAGTTTTGAACTGGGTAAGCAGTCGGCCACATGGGGGTCTGGCTATCGTTACCACATGCCAGCAGCTGGCCCTGTTTGATACTTTTATTTTTATTTTTTAAAAGTTTTTTTGCCAGAGGGCACATGTATTTGCTAGAGATGGAGAGGGACAGAGAGAGGGAAAGTGAGAAATCACTTCCCAGGGCAATCTCTTCTCCATCCTTCTCTTGGGATTGGGAGCACACATACACTCATGCCTGGCATGATTTTTCAATCCACTGGGTCTGAGACTTGAACCGTAGTAGGCCATGTGGGAGTCCAGTGCTGTAACTACCACACCACCTGCTGGCCCCCATGTTTTATACTTTTAGAGTTACCTGCCTGACCAGTTAGGATGGATTACATGAGTATAAGCCTAGGTATAGGTAAGCTGTGTATGCATATGAATGTGGGTATCTCTGGGTACAATATTCATTCTAGAACGTTTATGGCTTTATCACACACATTTACATTTTCAATCCATCTGTAATTTATTTCTGGTGGAATGAGCAGACATGGATGAGTTTTCCTGTTTCCCTGTTCAGCAGCACAAGAAAGTGGAGGCATCAACTCCTCTCGGAGATTGTTGTTTTTAAAGAAAATATTTTTTGTTGCTTTATACAAGTAATACAAATTCAGCGATCATATACACCTGCTCCTGCCACCCAAAACCATCACCCTTTTTCTTTTTTCAATTGGAACATATTTTCTGCAAGCATTTTTTTCTTGGTGTATAGGTTTTTATCTTAGAATCTACTTTGTGTCTGTTTTGTTAAACATGTGAGATGTTTGTAACTGCTTAATACTTAATGTCTTAACCTTGCAGCTCCAGAACTTGGCTGGACAGCTGCCCTCCCAGTGGAGCTTGTTAAAAATAATGAATTGGTAACCTGGGGTGGGGGGCGGTGGGCCCTGGGAATCAAGATTTTTAACAAGTTCCATGGAGGTGTCTGGAACATAGCCAGGCCTACTTTCAAGCCTTCCCTGGCCCCCTAGCCCGTACCTGTGATCGTCTGAGTCTCCGAAGTGATGGTTCGGGTGGTGGTCTGAGTCTGGGTGGCAGGCACTGTTTCCTCCGATACAAATTGGACTGTGCTGGGGGCAGCCCCGGATGTGCTGGTCAGCTGGCAGCCACTCTGCTTGTGAGCTACAAAGGCGTCCAGGTTGTTAAACTGCTGTTTGCAGATGCCGCAAATATGGATGTCAGGAGTCAGCTCGACCAGCACCGTCGTGCCACCTGGAACTCCAGGGGACAAGGAGGAAGTCGCAGATTAGTTCCAAACAGCTTCAAATCATAATGCAAAGCAGATTCGCATACACGGCGGCAGACATGGCAAAGTGGTGGCCTCATAGCCATTTTACCGCCCTCTTCTTTCCTGCAAATGCAATCCCATTTCTGTCCTAGCAGCAATGTGCCCAGCTCCAACCCATGGCTCATGACGCATTGTCACCTGTGGGGCACTAGTGGCATGTTTTGTAAGAGGAATTATTTGATCTGCGGGGCTGCCCTGCTCTTTGCAGGACCAGCAGCCTTCTCCTACCCTAATTAAAAGGTCATTATGAAAGCCAGTCCTCCAAATTCTCCAATCAAGAAACACAGACTGGCTGAACGGATTAAAAAAAATAGAAACCCTCTATCTGCTGCCTGCAAGAAACACACCTCATGGATAAAGACATACACAGACTAAAAGTGAAGGGCTGGAAAAGGTATTCCACACAATTGGAAACCAAAAAAGCACTGGAGTCACGATACTGATTCCAGACAAAAAAGACTTTAAGTCCAAACTGTAAGAAAAGACAAAGAAGGGCATTATATAGTAGTAAGAGGGCTGATTCATCAAGAAGTTAAAACACTTATAAAAATCTGTGCACCCCAATATGTAAAGGAAAGCTTGCTAGATCTAAAAGGAGAGTCTGCGACACACTAATTAACTGTTAGGAATAAGCCCCAAAACAGACAAGTCAGATTACATCAAACTAAGAAGTTTCTGCCCAGCAAAAGACACAGTAATTAGTGTGAATTGACAACCCTCAGAATGGGAAAGTATTATTGTAAACTATGCATCAGATAAGGAACCAATAATCACAATACACAGGGAACTCAAGTGGCCAACCCGAAAAAGAAAAAAATGATCAACTCAATTAAAAGATGAAAAATAAACAAACAACTCTCTAAGGAAGATATATGAACAGCCAAAAAGCATATGAAAAAATGCTCAACATCCCTCATCGTAAGGGAGATGCAGATCAAAACTATAACGAGATACCACCTGACCCCAATCAGAATGATGAAGATTAAAAAGTAAAACAAAAAATGGTAAGTGCTGGCGAGGCTGTGGTGAAAGGGGAACTCTCCTACACTGCTGGTGGGAATGTAAAGTGGTCCAGCCAACATGTAGAA